TTATATAATTAACACATTGGCCAGAATGACATTTTATAGTTTCTATTTTTTAAATTTTTTATACAGTAGAACCTCGAAAACTCGGCTCTCGATAACCCGGCACTCCGGATAACTCGGCCACACCCTAACAGGGCAAAAAAATCCTTAGTTAATTAATTTTCATTATAGACAGCTTTATAAAAGTATAAAAGCTCTCATAAAGTATTTTTCTGAGGTCTGTGTTATCAGGTAAATTACTGTACACAGTGTATTCATTAATTTTCATTTTCATGTAGTAAAGGCTCTATGCCTTCATAAAGGACGTGCTTTTCCTTTGTTTAAGGGTATTTGGGCAGTTTATTCTCTGTTATATTCTCAAGTAAACAATACATACAAGTACAGTACAGTATTTTCTGAGGAAACACTCGTACTTATTTTTTTTAACCCCATTCCCGATAACCCGGCATTTTCACAAACTCGGCCACCCTTCGGTCCACATTAGGCCGAGTTTTCGAGGTTCTACTGTACTATATAAGTCTGGAGAAGCTTTAAATGTACTATACGAATATATTTGTGTTTATGAAGCTTTTATCATATTTCTATTTGTAATTAATTGAATTTCCTCGTGTTTATTCAGTAGTCAGGCCTGTCTTCTTTAATTTTATCAAATTAGATTCGATGCAGAAAATATTTTCGACAATTTTATCGAATGTAAATAATCAAATAAGTATTTTATCTTGATCATATTACTGATAAAATCAAACATCAAAAAGATAAAAATTAAATTATCAAAAATTATCAATAAGTTAATTTGCATCGACAATTTATCATATTTTCGACAAATTAAAGTAATTAATCAATAAAAACAATTAATTAATAAAAGTAATTAATATAATGTCTCTGAAGAACCTGATATAAACAAGTTCTTTTTTACTTTCATAATTCGTTCATAATTTTTCATCTAGTAAGGACATTTAACTGACTACACAAAAATGAGGAGGAAAAAACCATATTATATCAGAAAACCGAAACTCTCAGCTATGCTATGCTGTAGTTATTTTACTATTACGCAAAGTGCTCATTTAATGGACTTTTTAAAAAACTTTTTCCGTTTTCTGGGTACTAACAGGGCCTCTTTAGCCAGCCCGTTATGGGTTTGGCCAGTTCCACAATGCAGTGCCCGGGTGATGAGGAACTGGACCCGACATAACCGAATGGACCATCCCTGAAAGATTACGGGATTTTTCAACTAGTCTGGACTCGATTCCGTATCCTCCACAGCGGTAGGTTGCCACCTTAACCACTCGGCCATCTGGCCGTCAATATTATATTTTTGTAAAGATAGCAATGAGAATCTTTCTGTAGCATTTTCAGCATCGCATAGTTTAACATTTGCATGAATATAATCTTATGCTCTGAATTGTGCCAAATTATCTAAACTCATAATCTTTTTTATTATATGGTAATTAATATTTAAAAATGCTTATTAATAAAGTTTAAATAGGTTAAGAAAGAAGTTATATTAAAATTTAGATCATGCAAAAAGTAGAAAATTAGTTTTCGCATATACAGAGTATCAATCTTAATCTATTTTCATTTCATTAAATTCAAATCTTCATTGCAATATTTCAAATGATCGCGGCGTAGAGATCATTTGCAATTTACTATTAGGACAATGAAATTTCTTAGTTAATTCAATTTTTTAAATACTTTTTTTAATGGAAATGTTTGTGTCTTTAGAAGATCGAAACTTTTTCAAACGGATCGATAGATTAATGAATCTACAAATAATATATTATTCTCACATATATCGAAATGGTCTTCGATGTATACGAGAATATTGTAAATAATTTCGTTTAGCATATCATTTTAAAATGGAACAATCATTTTTCAAGTTGTCGTAAGAATTTATAATTAAATTGCTGTTAGAAGAGCTGAAGACCTGGCATATTCGCAAAAACAGCCGATTCAGATCAAACCTGCTCGTAATGGCAAAAATGCCATTACGAGCAGGTTTGATCCTCGTAATTGCGGATTAAGCTCGATGATAGCGGCAAAATTGTGATCAACAATATAGTTTTAAATACTTGTATCGACGCCCGAATGGCAGAGAAGTTAAGGTGATAGCCTTACACTCTGGGATTCTGGATCGCACCCAGACGGGTAGAAAAACCTCAGGAATTTTTCGGGCCCCGTTCATCTCTACTCGCTGGCCCCTTTGTTCTCCTGGCCAAACCCATTATAGGCTCACTGAAAAAGACCTTCTTAGTGCCACAGGGAGGTAAAGTTTAAAAAAAATACTATTGTCTTGCATTGACAAATGAGTTACTCGCAGAATCAACTTTTGAACAAGTATAAATAATACCTTAATCAGGATAAACTTGTTCTACCTTAGCGTTAATTACACATATCAATTTTTAATTATAAATCTTTATTATTTTATGAGTATTTAGAGAAAAGTATCAATAACAAAAACCATTACTCTAAAAAATCAGATAAACTACTTGCACTTTATACTTTCGTAATACGCGAAACATTAAAACAAAAATTTAGGAAAAACCAAGGATGATGTGTAAAGATTTTATAAATTACTTTTTTAACTTTATCTTTAGTTTAGAAAAAGAACTATAAAGACTAAAATTTCGTATACGTTACTCTGTTGTCTTCTAGATAATAAAAAAAAAATGTATAAAAATATCTTAAATTATATAAATTCGCATATAATACTTTTTAAAGATGTTAAAAACATATGCGAATATGTCAGACGAGTTTAACTTCCTTCTTCACATTTGATTATAAAAACAAGATTGATTGAAGTAAAAAGTAAAATTAGGTCAATTATACTTTCTGAAAGAAGTCATAACTATAATCGTTATAATATAATTTATATCAGCCGATTGTAAATTCTTTTAAACTTTTTACAAGAAAATAAACTTTAAAAAGCAGACTATTTCTTAAAAGAAAAAATTCAAATGTATTTATTATATATAATAAAATTTAAATCCAAAAAGAAGATTGTAAATTTTAAGGTTAAATAGGACAGTATTTCATAACAAACATATAAAGTGAAGGTCTGGACTTTATTTTAACTTGACACTTGCATTGTATCAAGTTGAAATAAAATCCAGACCTTCAATTCGGTTTGCGAGTGTCATTGGTTAATGGAATATTGTCCTCTTTAACTTTTAATATTTATTTATTTTATATTACATTATGTAATTCGAAGCATAATTTTTACCTTTGTTTTTTTATTGATTTAAGACATTTTTTAAACTGCAGTATGCTGTATATAATTATTACTTTTCGTAAGGCAAACATAAAAAAAACATAAAAATTCATACATTTTGTAAAAATTTAAAGAAATTCGAACCTAAGTTTGCCAACTCTCGAAGAGTTTTCCATTTCAAGAGTAAAATATTTCAGATTTAAAACTGTTATTCTTAGCAATATCAAAATTTAAAATTAGCAATTTAAAAACTTTTGCCGAAATTCGGAGTATCCCGACGAATCTGGGAGAATTGGCAAACTATTCGTATCTAGTTCGATCTCAGATGTCAGAAACATTAATTGATATACTGTACAAGCATACAATTAATTAATCAATTTAATTAACTGGGTTAACTCCAGATAAAACATAGTTTTTTTCACTAAATAATTTTAATTATTTTAATAATCAAATAATAAACGTTAGATAATATTTTAATCGAAATAAAATAACAGTTCAATTATTAATTAAAAAGCAAAATTAATTTCTGCTAAATTGGTATAATTTTTATAATTAATTACAGTGTAAAGTAAAAGACAATATTGTCAAGATAATACGCTTTAGGCTTCCTCAATAAATTTTATATAAACAATTATTAGAAAATACCAGCATAAAAATGTCTGATTTTTATCAGCCATTCTAAAATTATTAATACGGTGCTTCCTTATATTTTAATAATAAATATATTACAAACGTAAAAAAATACATAAATTATGTTATATACGTAATAAATTATAAATTTACAGTTATCAAATTTAATAATGACAAAGTGATATATATTTTATTTTCAAAGTAAAATGGGATTTACAATAAATCAATAATTGTTTAGATATATTATATTATTTGCTAAGTTATTGTAAATTCTATATCATTTTTAATATATTTCAATAGATTCTAAACGCATTTCTTACGTTGTTCTCAGCTTAGATAGTGTAGTATTATAAAATGTATATGATTCTATTAATGTCAAACTTGTTAAAATTATAATACAATTAGCGTAATATTAAACTCTTCAGTTATTCAGATATTCAGTTTAAAAACTTCTTAATTTTATAAGTGAAATTTAAAATTAGAAAAAATTAATATAATGTATAAAAAAATTTTCTTTATGCCACAATCACGATCTATAATTAAAAATAGCCAATATTGAATATTATTTTTATGGTCTGGACGTTGGCTTATATTCTAGTTTAATTTAAAAGCATATGTCTGCTTATTTTAGACGTAATTCATATTTTTTTTAAATAGGTTTATCTTTTCAATACAAAAACAAATTTTATATATTGTTGTATATTATATATAGAAGGTAACAAACAAACAAAATTTTTTGAATAATTGACTGACATATTTGATACGCCTTTTGATAAATTTTCCTCTAAAATATTTTATATAAAATATTCTGCTTTAGTTCAATGACAAGTTATTTCTTAAAATTACTGTTTAACTACAGATTAAGTAATAATAATAATTTATAATCATATAAATCTATTAATATATAATTAATATGAATAATTATTTTTCATTACCATATTTAAATAGCATTATAAACAATTGTATGTAATTGATTCTTAATATACCTGAAGAATATAATTTTAGTTATAAACCTGTTTAATATATATATATATATTAAAGAATTGAAATTAATTTTAATGCATTCTGGTTATTTGTAAAAGACCAATTGCATGAGCTTTTGAAAACCGGTCTTTCCCTAATCTGATAATGAAATGGTATAAGGTTGAGTTAGAATCACTCTTGCGTATATATTGCATTGTGTATCTACATCGCATTCATTCTTAACTTAGCCAAAGATGAAGATGAAATTATTCGTCGCTTCACTCATCATCTATCTTCCACTTCTGCAGGATTTTATCAGCAGCTTAGAAGTAATCTGTGAGTAATTTTTATTCACTTTAATTCATGAAAAAGTAAGTTATCATCAATATATAACTATGTAATCTGAGATAGCAAATAAGTTACAATTCTGTAACGTTATACTTTTCTCTTATAGCGCATTAAAAAGAAGGCAAATTGAGTTATATTTAATGTATCGTGAATGTATTTAACTAGATTTTCTGGAATGAGGGTAGATCTTTATTTTTCTGGTGTAAACACAGACTTGTTTATATATATATATTAAAATTTTTTAATTATTTCAAACACAATAAAGTATATATAACTGGATAACCTCGATTAAAATTATGTCATTTTAATTATCTAGCATAGTGAATAAATACATTTTATTTAATTGTTATTTTGAAACATATTTGAGCGAGATAGATACAAGTACTTTTCAAGTTTAATTGTGTACAGTTTCTGGTATAATGATATGATGAACTATCCCAAAGTAGTCATCATGAAGAATAATTAGGATAACAAACAGGCCATTTCACCCAAACGATACTTTGTATGTGTTTGTTCATCGTTATCTAATAGAAATTCTTTAAAATTTAGCTCAAAACGGAAAAAATAAATACGAAATTTCTGTTATACTTCATTTAATATAGAGTAAGAGGAGGAAAAGCTTGAGCTGCATCTATTACATTGCATAATAGATACAGTAGACTTTTAAAACGATATTATACTAATCATCAGTATTTAGGTTATAAAGACTTTTTTCAGATTTTAGACCAATAAAAATTGTATACAAATAGAAAATGTTGTTAAAAAACTAAAATAGTTTATCGGTGTAAGGTCTTTAGACTCGTTAACAATAAGAAGGGTATGAATAAGGATTGACTATTTTTCTTTTTGTATATTGCATAACTTTCGACCATACAAATTTTAATTATATATTAAAAAAAATTATTAATCCATATGTTATTTAATAAATTAGCATTTGTCTTGTAAATAAATAACCCAAACTTTCTTATGACCTATTTTCAATTCCTTACAGAATTCCTGAAACTTTCCCTCCCGGTGTATCTCTGTTGGAAACTTATAATAATTGTTTAAAAATCTGTATGTAGCCTATATATGTATATACACATTAAATATGTCATATATCTACTTTTATTTTAACAAAGCGACATAACTATCAGGAATCTATATAACCAGATTTAACTTTATTATTTTAATTTTCTTTTCCTGTTATAAATTAGAAAAATTACTAGCTGTACTAATGAATTGTATGTAGAGACACTAATGCGAAAAATACAGAATTAATGATATAAAAATAGTTTCTAAATATATCACTCTTCACTTTTCCTTAATCCTAAATAGTTACTTTTTATTTAAATTATCAATTTATATTCATTAATTTAAGTTGCATCAATTTCTGACATTATATAATCCATGATAAAGTGCAAAGTATACTCGTATTTATTAAACTACTTCCTTATACAGCAGGAAATTTATTTTGAAAAAGTTCTACGTTTTTATTTGACCTTAAATTTTTATGTTTTGTTGATTTTTCTCCTCTCGTAGTTTACAATAAAAGTATTACACTATTTAAACCTTTTACGAGTTTCCTCGACGAATAATCCATCATAAAAACTACAAAAGTACGTATAAATGTTATGTTAAACTATGTCAATTTTTAAACATAGTTTAACATAACATTAATACGAAAATATTTAATGCAGATTCACAATGGGGTCTATACAGATTCTCTCTGGAGTCAATAGAATCTTGAAAAAGGTCGATGAAACTCAAGTGGTCAATTGGGAATCAGTGGAAAAATCAGATACTTACTGTACTTTTTGGAGAATTTTCAGACAATCACATGGAAAATTCATTAACTGATTTAATAATTTACTTAATACATTACACGAAATCTTGGGAAATAACATAAAAATTTTAAGGGAATCAATTGAAAAAAATATTTTCTAAATGGAGGGTCAATGCAAGAAAAAGGTTGGAACACCTGTAAATACAATTTGTATTTATTTTCATCAAATTTATAACTACCAAAACACAGATTTTTGATTTTTTTTAGATAAATCTATTCATAATTTTGAACTATTTTAGATAAGAAAATTGCATTGTTTAAAAAGTATGCTAATGCTAAGTCGTTAATTTAAACAATATAATTAATATTTTAAACTATAAAAAATTACAATTCAATGAAAATATGTAGAGCACGTAATAAATAGACACAGTAAATTGTTTTTGTCATTCAAATTTTAGTAACACGCTTTTAATTTTCATTGTTGTAGTTTGATGAAGAAGATAATGTAAGTGACAAATAATTCTATACTAAGAACAGGTAATGGTAAATAAACGAGCGATTTTATGATAAAAAATAAATAAATAAATAACGATGATGATGATGTTTATTTAGAAGAAAAACAAAGATAAAATCGAATTTTCGCTTGAATAATTTATTTTTCTTCTCAGTGGATAAATCTAAGGCTACGAAATGCATGGGAAAATACGGTTGTTTCACTTTGGAATCGCCATTTGCTCTATCGCCACCCAAGAGAATGTTAGCTACGTTACCTTTATGCCCAGAAAAACTAGTAATTAAATTTTTCGTATGGACGAGACAAAATCCCGAGAAAGAAGATGTAATTTACTCCCACGAAATGGAAAGAATAGAAAGATCTCACTTCGATCCGACGAAACTCACAAAATTTCTAATTCATGGATGGACGCAGCATGGAAAAATTTCCTGGATTTTGGTAAGTTAAATGAGTTGTGTATAATGAAAAGCAAATCAAAATAAAAATAGCGAAAGATAAATATTTTGATAAAGGCGTCTTATTATCAAAGAGAATGTTGCAAAATGGATAAGTCACATTTCGTAACGAAGTGTCGCAAAGACGAAGTATTTTCAAAATTACAAAATGATTTTTAGTTTAACTACAAGTTTAGTTGAAATTTATTACATTTTAAATGTAATGATAGGCCATATGACAAGGAATTTATATTTTTCAAATGTCTTTCTGTCTGTTTAAAATGCGTTATATATAAATGACTAATCGTCATGAGATAAATTGAAGCTATTTTCTTCTCATTTCTAAAGTATGTGAGAAATGCTACGATACAAGGATAAAAAAATCAATAAATGTGAGAAATGCTACTATACAAGGATAAAAAAATCAATAAATATGAGAAATGCTACGATAATGCATGGCTAAAAATGTTTATTATTGTGGCATCGTCACAATGTCGGGCTTAATTTAAACAACCTCGTGACTTCCAGTCCAGATTAGAAATTTGTATTTAGTTAATCGTATCTCTGGCTCCTAAGCTTCCATATCTGATCTCGATCTTCATCTAGCTAACTCCGTTCTCGAATTAACGAAGGACAGACGACAGAAATCTGAAAATTGCAACCCATCATTTATAACGTTAAAATAAATATAATATTTAGTACTAAAAATCCAAAAACTTCTTTACTACATTCACTTAAATTGATACGATCCAGTGTATACCACGAAACAAAAGATAATATAAAAATATTAATCTTACAAAAAAATTAACATTTTGTTTCTAATTTTAATTTGGGTTTGTGTATTATTTTTAATATATTTTAATTTATGACGGAAAGTAAAATATAACTAAGTATTTCACATACAAATTGCTTCATACGTTTCCGTAGATAATAATTAGATAAGAGATAATTTATTGTGGTTATTATTAGAAAACATTGTCTTGATAATGTTTACAAACAGGAAAAATCAAACAATATTTTTTAATGCTAATTTTTCTCTAAATTTAGGCAGCAACTAAGGAACTATTGATACACGGAGATTATAATATTATAGCCGTGGATTGGCGCATAGGCGCCAAATCTTTACATGTGAAGTCATCGGGAAATACGCAAATGGCGGGTGCAGTCACTGCAGCTTTCGTTCAATACATGAAGGTTTATACGCGCTTTATCATCATTATCTAAACTTAATTCTAATTAATTATTTACACGTATCATTTCCTATACAGAAAGCTTATCGTTATTCACCAGAGATGATACATCTCATCGGATTCAGTATGGGATGTCAGATAGCGGGATACGTTGGAGAAAGAATTGCTAATATTGGTAGAATAACGGGTAAGTTTCCATTTATATAATATTAAACTGTGGTTTTTAGTTGTTTAATTTAATTACTTTTTATGCAAAAAGGTTTAGATCCTTGTAGATTGGATTTCGATCACTCTCATCCTGTCGTGAGGTTAGATCCAACAGATGCACTCTTCGTAGATGTCATCCATACTGATTCAAGTGTCACTTCTTGGACTAGTAAATATTTATAATTTTATAGTTAAATATATAATAAATTTATCATGTAAGTAAATTGTTATTATTTAATAGAGAGAGGTATCACCCACGATGTTGGTCATTTGGATTTCTATCCAAACGGTGGAAAGAATCATCCCAGGTGCAAAGGTAAACTCAAAAAAAGAAGAAAAAGATGGGTAGGTGAGTGATAAAGTTATGATTTATTTTTAAATTTAAAATGTTTAATGTAACAGTATTAATTGTAATATTCATCACTGCAGTCACACGTTAGAATATCTACATTAGAATATCTACATTAGAATTAGTAATATTCATCACTAATTCTATAAAAATGTTTTAGAAATAATTTTTAGATCAAATTTCTAAGCAATTAAAAAGATAAAGCTCAGTAAAGAAAAGTTTGATCTGTCTAAAAAGATTTTAAATATTTGATATATTTAACATTAGTTTAATTTATGTACTAATAAAATTGGAGAATTTGTGAAGTTTTAAATATGTTAAATATATGCTTAACTGTTAATTTAAATATGTTAAATATATGCTTAACTGTTATTGTGGGTGGCATTTATAAAAATGTCTACAACTCCTAGACAAAAAATTAGAATATTTGCCTAACTGAAAGTTTAGTGTACATTTTCTCATGAACAACACAGAGTAGGAAACTTTTTTCGACCCTACATAAACAATGTCTATTTATATTTATTATACCCATTAATTAGACAAATTAACTCAAACGTCTTTTTGTTACAAATGGAAATGAAATGACAAAAAATAAATAAATAAAATAACAGTTTAACCATGACAAAAAATTAGAATACAGTGGAACCTCGGTATGCGTCTGCTTTAGAATACGTCCAATTCGGAATACGTCCTGTTTGGACGAAACAAATTTTGCTCGGTATACGACTTTTGTTCGGTATACGACATAATTCAATTATACGCGCCATCAATGAACAAGTAGCACTATCGGTGTACTAGACCAGACTAGACGTTCGCGGTGCAACGGTTTATAACTTTGTTTAATTTCTTCTGATTTTAATTCGTAAGTAAAATTTTATTATTTTTATTAATCACGAATCCCAAAAAGGCAAATGAAAAGCGACAGAAAACTAAAAAAATGACTAGAATTACAATGGAACTGATGAAAGAGATTGTTGAGAAATACGAAGGTGGCACGCGTGTTCGAGATTTTAACTGTTGTTTACCGTATTCCGAGAACGACGATATGGACAATCGCGAAAAATAAAGACATTATTAAATCTGCTAACGTTGCGAAAGGGGTTAAATCAATTTCTAAACAGAGATCGAAGACATTAGATCATGTCGAGAAATTGCTTTTGCTTTAGATAATTGAAAAACAGTGTTGGAGACAACGTATTGGAAGCAATTATTTGCGAGAAAGCTAAAAAGATTCATGCTGATCTCACGAAAAATCAAGCAGGAACTAGCCAGGAAAGGAGGTGTTTAAAGCCGGCCATTTTTTTTACACGAGAACGGATTAATCATTTTTACATTACTTCTTATGGGAAAGGTTGGTTTGGTATACGTCCGATTCGGTATAAGTCCAAACATCGGGAACGGATTAAGGTCGTATACCGAGGTTCCACTGTATTAGCAAAAACAACCAAACAAACAACCATAAAAAACTAAATTGTAATGCAAATTTCCATATTGCTGGGCAGAGCAGTAGAACAGTAGGCCTACAACATGGGGCGTGACAGAACTAAACATATTATCATAAGCCTTGTACAAAGTAGGAAGAAAACAAAAAGAAATTGCGAATTATGTAAAATGCTCGCAACCAACAGTTTCTAGAGTACTGAAACAACAAAACCGTGTTCAAGTTTTAACTAATAAACGCCAGAAATATGGACGTGAACGAGCAACGACTTTGAGGGATGAGAGAAACTTGAGGATTGCCGTGCGAAACCGCTTTAAGAGCGTTAATCCGCACCATGCCAGACAGATTGTGAGCACTAATTATGGCAAACGGCGACGCCACAAAATATCAAGTTTATTTTGTTGTATTTTCTATATTTAACCCACATTTAGCTAATATTCTAATTTTTTGTCACAGTCAAACTGTTATTCTATTTTTTTATCATCTCATTTCCATTTGTAACAAAAAAATGTTTGTGTTAATTTGTCTGATTAATGGGTATAATAAATATAAATAGACATTGTTTATGTAGGATCGAAAAAAAGTTTCGTACTCTGTGCTGTTCATGAGAAAATGTACACTAAACTTTCAGTTAGGTAAATATTCTAATTTTTTGTCTAGGAGTTGTATATATATTGTCATGATGATGAGCAATTGTACCGTTTTTATAAATGCCACTTATAATAGTAGGTAACAATCAAGAAAAGTTAAACACATAGAATAAACCTATATAGTATTTATTCATGCATTTAATTAAAATTTTCTACACTCTAACACTGCTATTACATCTAGTCTATTGCAAAATATAAACGAATTCTTCAGCAAATGAATATCTAAACATTATCTTCGAAAAGATAAATTTTATCAATTGATCATTGTTATATATAAGATAAGAATAGTGATAAACGAAATAGATTTTTTGATATTTTGTTAAATTCAAACCACTTTGAGGTATCTATAAGAATACCCAACAATATTTAGATGAATAATGAAATGTAAAATATAATGAGATATACAGTATTATGTGACACAGATTCCTATAATGGAAGCAAACAAATATTCTGAAGACTGAAGCATAACAACAGAATATTCGTGTTATCTATATGCTAAGCCAATTGGAGTACAAAAACCTTACACAGACAAATAGAATATATTTTTATTTGTGTCTACATTTAAATTCTGTTGTAATGCAAGAATACAATATATAAACTTTAATTAACTAAAAGTCGACCACGAGCATTTTTAAGTAAACAGTAAATACACGATTTTATCAAATAACAACTATTGAAATTACTGTTGTACAATATTTCCAGTATCCATATATGTCAACAACATACATGATTACTGTAAATTAATAATACATGTTAAAATGAAAATCTTACTCAATGGGATCATCGGCTGTCGAAAAAAATTTTCAAATTTCAGATAGAACCAAATCGAGAAGCAGTCTACAACTTTTGCTATAAATTTACCAATTCAAATTAAAATGATTTTATTAAATTTTTTAAAAAATATTTTAAAATTAGTGTATAAGTCTAATTTGACTCCTATCTCATAATCCACTTTCACTCTCAGAAGGAATGAAAGTTAATATCAGGTCTTTTTAAATAAGAGCTCTTGTCTTGACAATACTTTCTACTAATTATGATAATAAAAAATTTTTAAAATAAAATCATGCTCTAATTAATTCTGAAAAAGCTGGTAAGAGCTCTTGTTCAATTTCCCCGGTATTCAAACAGGAGGTTAAGGAACCCACTAGAAAGTCCCATAATTTTTAAATTGTACAACGATATAAAATTTAAATAATAACAAAAGCATAAAAGAAGTAATCTTGTTAAATTAAGACAAAAAATCTCAATTTAAAAAAATACGCGATGGTTAGAATTAAACTGATGGCACTCAGACACGCGTGGAGCAAGCTCTGCTGAACTGAATCGAATGAAACTCGGTAAACGTGCAATGCAGATCACGAAGAAATTTACGAGGGGAAAGATTAGTTGACATTTTCACCATTAGGGAAAATGTGGCGTTGCAAGGATAGCAATTATATTCTATTAAAATAAAATTAATTTTACACATTTACAGTATGTGCTCAATGTAGGATCCTTCCCTGTTGACTACATGCTGCAATCGTAAAATCGTGTTATCAACTGCTACGCGTAACATTTCAGGAGGAATCTGGGAAACGTGTTGCACTAAACTACTCTTCAGATCCGATACGAAGTGCAATCCCCTCGAGTGATAAACACAATTTTTCAAATAACCCCACAGCCAGAAACATACGTTTACGCCACATTTTCCTTGGTGGTGAAAATTTCAACTGATTTTTTTTTCTCCGTAAATCTCTATCTCATGATCTGCATTGCATGTGTATCGAATTTCCTTCAATTCGGTTCAGTAGAGCCGGCCGGTACCACGCGTGTCTGAATACAGTCAGTTTAATTCTAACCACCCTGTATTTAAGTTTTAAAAATCAATAAAAGTTTTAACTTTTAACTCCTCTTTATTCGCTGCTTTTAAGAAACGATAGTACCTGTACTTTTTAATTTTTCAGTTTATTGATATTTCATAATTTTTTTTGACAAACTCATTACTATATTCTCACACTTCTTTTCTCAAAGACATTATTTTCCTAACCGACAATTTTTAAATATTAAATTTGTTTATTTTGTAATAATTATTTTAATTATACCACTAGATACAGTACACTTGCAGAGGCAAAGCTTGAAATTTTCCTACAATAAATAAAATAAAATTATAAAACTAAACATTTACGATTAACAAATGCTAAAATATTTAATAATTCCCGTATAAAAATATATAAGTAAACCTTTTAATTAATCTAATTAAAGTTTGTCGGTGTTTTCTTTACTATTCCCGTCCAGTACACACTAGAAGGCACTTTAAAGTAGTCTATTGTAGGTTTGTTTAAAAGGGACGGCCGAATGCGGCGGGATAAGAAGGGACAGAACCCGACATGTCCTGCGTGGACCACCCCCGAAAAATTTCTGAAGTTTTTCTAATTGTCCAGGTTAATCCACGGATCCCCAGGAATACTTTAACCGCTCGACCATCTGGCCGTCTACATGACATAGTATTCAATACATAAATATTTACAGTAGAGCCTCGATTATCCGATCCCCGATTAACCGATACCTCGGTTAACTGACCGTCCTAGTCGGCAAATTTCAAATGCCTGCTAGTGATGTGGCGCTACAATATTTGGCTATGTCTTGGCTACTTTAATATTATTTTTACGTGTTTTAGCTGGCAACACTCATTCGACCATGAAAGGGAGCCAGTATTTAAACGAGGCTTAACTTTCTAATTTTTAACGATACAATAGCGACGATTATTATTTTAAAAAATTTTTGTTAGGCTTAACATCGATGAAAATTCAACGCGAAATAGGTTA